CCGGGCCTTGTATATGACCTTAATGTTACTGATTATTTGAACTACTTATGTGATCGTGGATACACCAGTGACCAACTCAAAGTGTTCTACGGAAAGCCTTACACTTGTCCAAAATCTTTCAGTTTGGCAGATTTCAATTATCCATCCATCACAATTCCTGAGTATAAAATTGGACAGTCTTTGAGTGTGACTCGAACGATTACCAATGTTGGACCCCCAAGTGAGTACATAGCGGAGATTCAAGAACCCCCACAATTTCTAGTCACGGTTCAACCTAAGATATTAAGATTTACACATAAGGGTGAAAAAAGAGAGTTCAAGGTTACTTTCACTAAGAAGGCAAATGATGTATTTTTTACTTATCATGTCTTTTGGGATGTTGATATGGACCAACGGAAAGCATCGTGTTGGGACTCCTATTACAATATCGTTCCAAGATTAGGTTGATATTTCATGCTTTGATAGAGTTGTGGCTCTTTTTTGTACCGCTTTCAATAAAGGGACATGTTTGTGTTAAGGTTGTTCTAAGATTATGAAAATTATATCATTCTTCTTTTAATGTTATTTTAAGATGACTTGAATCAAATGAATAAAATAAAATATAGCTATCATAATATAATATGTTTCTGCCATTCAATGTTTTTAAAATTGGACTGGTCAAACCGTATAAATTTTTGAGTTTAAAGTTTAATTAGTTAAATCGGTTAAATTTACTAACGTACTTTTTAGTAAATAAATTAATAATTTGAAATTAAATTTTATAAATATGATACACAATTATATATTTACAACTTAATAATATTTCAAAACTTTATTATAAATTTAATACAACAATATCAATAGTATAAATAATAACACAACATAGTGTACACTCAATTTCAAAAATAATTAGGGTCATGGGGTCATTCGATACGTCAAATTTTGGGATGCTTTGCCCCTAGTTAATAGGATCTTCATATGGTAAGCCCGTGATTATAAGGATTTCCCCCCTAATTAAAAGGATCCTTAGGTGACTTGATCCTAGTCAGAAATGTCTCGAAGTGGTGTCCCTCTGATTTTTTAGGGTCCGGAGGAATGTCTTGAGAAGAAACTTGGATTCCGCCATGCTATGATATGACCCTTATAAGGACTGTCCCTAGTATCTGAATCTTGCAAGGTATGCCCCTGATTAACTGGTGCTTGGAGGTGTGACCCTAGGTTGGTCAGTTCTTGGAATAATTTGCCTCTAGTCAATAGGAACTTTAGATGATGCGCCTCTATATGATCATTAGGATTTTCCCATGATTATCAGAATCTCTTAGGTGCTTAGCCTCTAGTGAGGAGCGTCTTGAAATAGTTCCTCTTTGATCAGACCATTGTTGAAATTTATCTGATGCTAAGTATCGATTTGTGAGTAAAATTGTTCCATTTTTGAAAAGTAATCCTAATACGGTGCACAGGCAGGTTTTTTGAAATCGAAAATCATTATGGAAAACATGTGTGGTATGTAAGTGGATGATATTTGGCCATGAGGTTGGCACAAATGAAGATGGGAAAATGATGATTTAACAAACATTCGGAGTCAGTTTAACAACGATTTTGCCGAGTATGTTTTCATAGCAAACCTAGCTTCAATGAGGACTTTTAAAGGTTATAACGTGGCATGGTTCACGGTTTATGAAACAAAAGGATTATAAGGCTCAAAATTTAAAATTTAACTCACCATATTCTCCTTGATTTTCTCCATTCCTAAATCCAATCAATTCAACAGTTGCATTTAGTGACAAGAAATTTTTTGTAGATGGTGAAAGAAGTAGGTTTAAAAGCACTAAGCATTGATGCGATTCTTGACATGGCAGTCGCCTTCTTTCATTTGCAAGCTTGTTTTCCTTTTTTATAATCCCTAATTTGTGCATGAACTCATTCTTTTAAGTTTGTAGTCCATCGAGATGCCCTAACTTTTTTCCTAAGTCAACTCCTTTTTAGTTTTTGATTTAGCGGGCTCTTTTTGAAACATGATGCCTTAACTCTTGCCTATGTCAAATTTTTAATTTTTTTCGTTTTGACTTAGCGGGCTCCTTTTTCTTAAACAACTTTTTCGATATTTGCTTTTGATTTCGAAAGTCGCGACTGTCATGTTAGCTATTATAAGCTTTATCTTTTCACTGCTTCCTCGATGTTGGATGGTGTATGCGAGAAAGAGGATGTTCTTAAATCTCTTACTATGGTGATTAGATGGAATAATTCTCTTGAAATCAGAATGCATCATCAAATTAATTAAAATCTACCATGACCCTAGTTAAGATTAAGAATTTTTATAAATAAAAAAAGAAACATCGACTTCTGGCTCGAGGGGGTTGACTACGGATTAACTCTTCATTTCTTCAGTGTTTGGTAAGCGAAACAATGTCATACATCGCCATCCAGGTCTTACTATTAAAAGCATACGTCAGCAAATTCAGTTATTTTATTTACATCATTCTCATCTCGATTTTGTTAATAGGTGAAAAGTGAAAAGAAAATGTGTAGTTTTTTATATTTTTATGATGGCATAAGAAAGGGTGAAAACGAATGGATCGATTTAAAAACATGCATGCTTGTTTTATTACTTTTTAAGAGTATAAATTTTAAATAAAAACAACACTTAGAAAAAAAAAGAAATTACAACATGGAATTGATAAAGTCTATTGATTCTATAGGTGAGCTTCCTTGTTGATCCACTGAATTAAGGAGATGTTTCTTGAAGTTCTTGCACTTTGTCAAAATAGAGATGACCGTTCGCTTGTGGGACTCTTTTGTGATTTCTACTCATAACTTGTAGGATATGAGTAGGATCAAGTGATTGCAGCTTCACTAGGTCATCTCCGAGACATTAGTATAGGATCCAGTTTCCTTCTAAACTTCCTTTGTTGAAGCGCGTGAGGTTGCTAATTAAATAGATAATGTTACAGACTTTGTTGCGGAGGGATCATCTAGGGTTGATGCATTTGAGGCTCTAGGTAGACCTGTGGCTGGCATGGTGAAGGGTTACCTTATTTTTTCAATGGTACTTACCCCTTAAGTTTTCAAACTTCACAAGTCCATCTATGGTTTGAAACAAGCAAGTCGCCAGTGGTATTCCAAACTATGCAATACTTTTATCACCTTTGGTTATCAACAGTCTCAAGCTGACTATTCACTCTATACTAACACTGAAGCATCCTTTTTCACAAGACTTGTGGTTTATGTCAATCTCTAGACCAGATTATTCATGTCAAGACATTTCTTGACCACACTTTCTGCATTAAGGATCTTGGTAAACTAAGGTTTTTTCTTGGACTTGAGATTACCCAATCAGATGAAAGCATTATTATTAATCAAAGAAAGTAAAACCTCAAGCTTCTTGAGAATACTGGTACCTTAGGAGTCAAGCCATCTCTTATTCCTTTAAACCCTAGCAACGAACTTTCCAAAACCGAAGGCATCCCTTTATCTAATTCTACTTCTTATAGAAGACTCATTGGTAGACTTTTATATCTACTTATACCAGCCCAATATCGCTTTTGTTGTTCAACACCTCAGTTAGTTCATTCCCAACCATTTAACACCTCATTTCACTGTGGCCATCAACATTCTAAAGTACCTCAAATCTTCTCCAGGAAAATGTATCTTCTTTTTTAGTGCTTCAACAATCAAAATCCATGGATTTGCTGACTCTGACTGGGCCAGATGTTCAGACTCTCGAAAATCCATTACTAGCTACTGTTTTTTTCTTGGAACTCCACTCATATCATGGAAGTCCAAGAAACAACAGACTGTTTCTCATTCTTCCACTGAAGTCGAATATCATGCCCTTGCCTCCTTAACTTGTGAACTTCAATGGCTCCATCACCTCATCTCGGATTTCTCTGTCCATTTACCTACCCCTTCCTCCATCTATTGTGACAACAAATCTGCCATTTATCTAGCCTACAACCACACTTTTGACGAGAGAAGCAAACATATCGAGATTGATTGTCATGCGATTTGTAAGAAGATTTTTTCAAAATAAGTTCATTATTCTCCTTCCAATTTCAAATTCAAATCAGCTTGCAGATGCTTTCACAAAACCCTTGCACCAAGGTTCCTTCACTGCTAACATATCCAAGTTAGGTATATGCAATTTGCACTGTTCAACTTGAGGGGGATATTACGTATTACTATTGTTTGCCATGCAAGCTAGTTAGTTTTTTCCTTTTCCTTTATATTGATAGTTCGTTAGTTGGTTGTTTAAGTGGTTATGTTAGTTACCACCTAACTTCTCTTAACCTCTATATAAGAGGTATCTCTTGTAATCATTGTAAGAAAGATTGATCTTTTCTTTTCTGAATGAAAATGAAGTATTGGTTGCACCATTAACATTATTAGAATTGTCATAACTTATATGCCGCATAGTTTTGAAGACAACAGCCGCAAATTTTCTTTAAGTTTTTTGAAAAGTTAGGGGTGGTTGAACACAACTGTCGTAAAAACCGTCACAATACATAAGGAATGGCTGGTTTAATAGAACTATCTCAAATTATGTACCGCAATAACTTTTTTCTTGTAGTAATACCATGCAACTAGCACTGGCTAGACCCACCAACCTCCTAATCTACAAACTGATCCTTTAAACAATCATTTATTATGATTCTATAATATGATATGATATCTGCATTATTTTTCTAAATTATAGTTTAACTTTAATCCTCACGTTTTCCATGATCAGCCCTCAAAGTCAAATATTGTATCTTGGCCGATACCATGCAAGTAGCGCTGGGTAGACTCACCCCCTCCTCATCTACAAACTGTTCCTTCAAACAATCATCTTTAATATGATTACAATTATGATGTGGTATCTGCATTATTTTTGTTGTTTTATTATTCTTTAGTTTGTCACCACCAGATAAAATCCTCCCACTTGTTCAATCAATTCAATTATATATTTCTACTCCTTAGTCACGGCACAAGCATATACCATAGTGTTGTGCTCTCCCCTTCTCTGTCTCAACATTCATTCAGCTATGTCGACTAGCACTCAAAATTTTGAGATCTTCATAGAAAATTTGCCTCTTGGTCTTTCAAGTATGACATTGTTTACTCTTTTTGGGGAGGCTGGGCATGTGCGGGGTGCTGTGGTGAGTCATTATCTTTTCGATTCCATATCATAGATTATGTGTAATTGTGTATTATTAGGGTTAAGTTATACCTTCTGTCTGTGGAATAATTTATGTTTTCAGATAACTCTTGGTGATGTTCCTGAACAAAGTTATGCATGTATAACCATGAGTACAGCTGAAGAAGTTGAGAAGGCTCTGAACACGTTCAGTGGCTATGTAAGTTTTTCTGTTTAAATTTTTTAGTGTGTTGTGTTGTACGATTAATATTAACAATTCTTGTTTAATTTGTGCAACAGGAATTAGATGGAAAATTGCTGAGTGTGAGTAAGGAGAAACCAGTGAGAGAAGAGCCCAAGAAGCAAACAATTCCTCGCGCATATAGTTCAACTTCAAAAAATATTATATGCGTTTCGAACTTGCAGAAGGATATTGAAAATGGGCGGTTGGAAGAAATGTTCAGTAAATATGGTAAAGTTGAAGATGTTGAAATAAGTTACTCAAGATTTGGTCAAACAAGTGCTTATGTTATAATGACCAATGAGACTGATATGGATGACGCCATTGCTGCTCTTAATGGTCATGTGAGGATCTTAACTTAACATGTTTTATAATATATATAGATATGTTTGAATTCTTACAAGGATTTGATTTGATGTATCATTCATTTTTTATATTGCAGAGTTTGGATGGAGGTGTAACCACATTGGATGTTTATCCGTTTAGGCGCAATACTAAGGACTCTTATGAATGAAATAAAAGACTTTTATGTATATCTCCTTTTCCGTCCATAATAAGACATTATTTTGGTCCTGGTGTGAAGTTGTTTCATTCTTAGTCTTGTTGCAGTGTTTGATGTTATCACGATTAATCCAAATGTTGTATTTTCACTGATGTCTGATGGATATTGAATTGAGATCACCTGCATATTATATCTTCTCAGTATGCGACGCGGTGGATGGTTATGCTGTCTTGGTCATAATTAACTTATTTTTCAGACTCTAATTGTATTCAAAAGCAACTATTATAAGCATAATCTCCAATACGGTGCCACCGTCACCATCTCCATCTCCATGATCAGACTCAAAGTCAAATAAAGCACATCTTGGCCCATACCATGCATGTAGGGCTGGCTAGACCCACCACCTCCTCATCTACAAACTGATCTTTTAAACTATCATTTATTATATGATTTTGATATCATATCTGCATTATTTTTGTTTTTAATTATTTTTTAATTTGTGACCAATCAATTCAATTATGGGTATGTTTCTTTTGGTTTTTAAAAATGGATTTTATAAAATTATTTTTTAGAATATTATAAATTTTTTTATATTCGTTATTTTTAAATTGAAAAACAATTTTCACATCTTATAATAAATATATATTATTAAAGATCAAAATATAATCAAAATCGTAATTTTTTTTCAAAAAATAGTATTTCAAAAGTGATTTTTATGGAAAAAAAAAATTTAAATGATTATAAAATTAATTGATTTTTTAAAATTTTGATATTTAAAAAAGTTTCAATAAAATAATAAAATATCTAAAATATCATTTTAAAAATATTAATTTAAAATAAATTTTCATTTAAAGTTTTTATGAAACATTTCTTTATAAATTTTTTTGCACAATTATATTACACTACAAATTTATTTTTAACAAAAAATCAAAACAAACGGACTCTCTGTATATCTTTACTCATTATTCCAACTCACTCATATATTCTCTTCTCTTAGGGGTGTTCATTGGTTTGGACAAATCCGAACCAAACTGGATCAAACTAATATTCAATGTCAATTTGGGCATCAAATTTTTAAAATTCTACCCGCAAGCTGGTCTATCCAAACCATTCATAATTAATTCGCATAATTCATATGATCATTATCAAGAAAACTAGTACAAAGTATTTAGCTTTAAAAAATATATATAATGAAACATTATTTGATTTGTTCACAACATAGATAGATAAACGGAAAAAAAAATTAAGAGTTTTATAATATTATGAAAAATTAACTGATATAAAAGTTATTTTTTTAAAATATTTTTACACATTTATTTTAGTATATCTGATCAATCTAACTCAAATCAATCTGTTGTTTCTCGATTTGGTTCGGTTTGGGTTTTATCACAAAAGTGTACAAATCCAATCCAAACCAATCCATATATTTTCAATCGGTTTAGGCATCTGATTCTCTTAAAACTGAACCAAACCAGCTCATGAACACCCTTAACTTCTCGTTCTCCTCTCAACAACATTTGACTATGTTGACTAGCACTGAAATTTTTAAAATCTACGTTGATAATTTACCTTATAAAGTTGACCTTTATGCAAAATTGTTTGAGCCGTAGGTGAGACCTAGGTTATCTCTTATAAAATTAAGGATAATTTATCCCAAATAATGTGTATTAATGAAATTCTGTCACATAAAATTTTAAAATCAAATATTAACCCAAAATTTTAAAGAATCAAAATTAAATCAAAGAAAGAATATATGATTTATCTTTGAGTAGTAAGATGTTGGTATCTCAAGTGGAAAAAAAATGCATATGTAACCATGAGTATAGTTGAAGAAGTTGAGTGTTAGTGTTATTACACCTTTCGAATGTGGAATTTAAGTGTGTGTGTGTGTGTGTGTGTGTGTGTGTGTGTGTGAGAGAGAGAGAGAGAGAGAGAGAGAGAGAGAGAGAGAATGGAAGGGAAGAAGAGAGTAATGAATATTGAATAAGAGAGTTCTATTAAGGAAAAGTTGTTAAAAAACCACGCAAGTAGTTATTATATATACACATATAGTAACTAACTAACTAAGTTTGAATTAATACACAACATGTTCCCTTAATTCAAACTTTCACCAAGTGATACACAATAGAAGCTGATACTTCGGACTCTAGGTCTTCACATTCCAGACACTCTTCAAAAACTGCTTCAGATCCAGAGTTTCAGAAGTAGTTCTCACCTCTCACTACTACAGAGAATACATATAATGACGGCTGCGAAACACATATAATAATATTTTCACGTTCGTTGTTAGGTAGCATGTGATTATATGTATGGTGGTTTCCACAATGTGCGTGTGATTGTGGTTATAAGTTAAGTAGTATGCTACCTATCAAAACCCAGCAACAACAACAATTTATTTGAAAATAATTAACATTTCAACACAGTTACATAAGATAACTGTTGTGAAAACTACCTAAGTTTATTATAAAATATGAGGATTGCTTGTTTTTCCTTACACCTCACTAAACACATACAACCATAAAAATTGATGTAGAAGATAATAATTTGAAAATTTTAATTATTCTTGAAAAACAACTTAAACGAGCCACTATTTTTCAAATTGCATTCATTCTGTAATTCATCTCTTACTTCTTAACATGTAGTATTTGATTAAATGTCTCAAATTCTTCAAAGCAACTATTGATTCCTAGTTTATTTTGCAAAGCATCAATATGTTAACTAATTCTGAATCATCATCATTATTTTAATCAACGATGAAAATTATTATGATGACAACAATAAAGTTGATTCAATTTACGAACACATTTGATATTTTACAATATAAATTAATAGAAAACGAACCATTACTTTGAAGAATTTTGGGCAATAAACCAAGTTCTACGTGTTAAAGAGCGATATAGATGAATTACGAGATGAATGCAATTCAAAAATCATGTTTGATCTAAGTTGCATTTCAAATATTTTTATATTATTATTTTCTAAATCACTTTAAATGAATGTGTGTCTAATGTGTTAGAACAAGATTTGTTCATGACATATTTTCTTTAGGTTTTGATGATAACAAAGTATTGAAAAAACAATGGTGTTATCTAATGTGTGTTCTAAGTATGCAAGTTCCAAAGCTTAAAGAGAATTTATTCAGAATCTGTTAAGATAACGCATTTGAGAGAAGCTGAGTTCTTGGCTTATGATGGTTCAGAACTGAATGACGTCTTTAAGTAAGGTCTGAGGACATATGATTGTGTAGACTCTGAAGCTGAATGTATCAGTATCATAAGAGCAATATGTTATCTCTACACTTATTGAATATGTAAGCTTCTGATGATTATTCAGAACCATAGATAAAGTTAAGTGATATGTACTGCATAAAGCAAGCTACAATGTCAAATTAATTTGGCAGTTAGAGTTAGTATTCACATGAATCAAGGAGAGTTAGCATGCTTAACAAATATCCAATCTCAACAGATCTATAGTGTAAATAACAAGAAAGACGATACGGTTAAATGTGTTAATGGATAAAGATCTTTTGTGTATCTATCTTCAACGTCTCTTAGTACTATGGATTGACAAAGACACTTGTGCAAGTTATCTTTTCCAACAGCTACTCTTTTTTATCGGCTATTTAAATAGATGAAGATTCAATCTGAAGAAAAAAAACAAAGTATAAAGAAAAACAACAAAAGGGCTGAGTAGAAAAAGAAATGTGTCATGCTAATATCAAAATGGAAGAATAACAAGATCAACAATAATAACAGCATTGAGTATGCAGAGTTTTTTTTATCATTTCTTGTAAATTAAACAAGAGCTTAGGATTTCTTAAAAAATGTATATCTTAGAAATCTTAAGTGTTATGATCTTTATTAAAGACATTTCCATGTACCTCTGATTGTATATCAGGTACTCCTTGTTATCTATTTTGTTAAACATGTTATTTAGTAGTTTAGAAAGAAAGTCTCTTGTTGTGTGCTTGAGCATCAAAGTCGCTTGTTGTATGCTTGAGCATCGAAGTCGCTTGTTGTGTGTTTGAGCATTGAAGCCTTGATCAAATTATTGATTAAGCAGGAAAATCTTAAATTGTAGAGTTTAATCATTAAGTATTTGATTCGAGGGATCTTAGCAGGAAGTCTTGAATTTGTGGGATTTAAGCAAGGAAGTCTTGGCTGTGAGTTTGAGCATGAAGTTTTGTACTTGAGGGTATAAGAAAGGAAGTCTTGAATCTGTGGGATTTAAGCAAGGAAGTATTAGGATATGAGGATCTAAGCATAAAGTCTCGATTAGGTGATGATTGAGCAAACAAGTCTTAGGTTGTAGGTCTGAGCAAATAAAGGTCTTATGCTTGAGGGCATAAGCAATTGTAATCAGTTTTGGTTATAGTGAAAAATATTTTGTACTGCAGGGGGATTGAACTGCTCTCGGATTGAGAGGAATCAGGATAAATTATTTGTATTCATTTGTCATTTACTTGTTTCTTATTATTATTCCACTGCATCCATATCATCATAATGTGAACTTCATTCAGAGGCAACAAAAATTGGAGAACACAATTCAACCCCCCCCCCCCCCACTTTCTTATGTATTTTTCTCACCTTCAGTTGACATCAGAGTAAGGTTTGTACGAAAAACTTATCAGTGGTACAAAAAGATCCAAAGAGAAAAATATGTTTTCATCTCCATATGAAAGGAATTCTATCAAAGGTAAGGAAATCTATTGAAAGTGACTGGTCTCTCTATCAACGGTGTTATCCTTTTTGAGAAGATAGTTCAAGGTTTTGGCTTCAGAGCAAGTCAGAAAATATTCATCAAAACAAGCTGGGAATTCAGAACCAGAAAAATATATCCATGCGTGTTCAGTTAATTGTTCATTATTTCAAGCATGATATTATTTACAAAGTTTATTGGAGTGTTTAGTTTATACACTCAGTTACTTTGAAAGATATTAGCCAGAAAACTTTCAGACTTGTGAAATTGATATTCTCATCGTTTGTGATAATACTAGTGTTGTGTTGCATCAA